AGTGACAAGAGCTTCCCGCTTGCACTCACACCTCATGTTCCAGCGAAGGACATAGTTTCTCGTCTTTCCTCCCTCCCTCCACCAGGGGTCTCGTCCCGTCTTGTTGTACTGTTATTCTTCAGAGAGAAGGCTGGCCCCTTTTGTTAGGTGTGTTTAAATGCTCTTTCTTTCACATTTTTAATTGACCAGTCCTGCGGTCTGCGTCTTAGAAGGGCTTGACCCTCTTCTTCACCCACCTTCATTTGGAATCAATTCGACTTTCTGCGGGCGCTGGAATCGCCCTGACTCCTACCTGAATGCCGTCGCTTGGAGTTTGCGCGTGTGTGATTTGGTTCATCGCCGCCTTTATCACGCCATCTTTAGCGCAGACGAGCGGTTTATTTCGATGGAGTTTTGCCAATACAGTGAGTGGATTCTTGGCGCGTATTCTTAACGTCAAGCTCAAAAATTCATGATATCATCTACGTGCGGTAGGCTTTATCGACTTCTATACCTACGTGTTTCTCGTTGTCGATTATTGTGGAATCCTTCAACAACACGACAAATGGCACTGTTGCTACCCCTCCTTACTACATGATCGCGTTTGCTGTTGGTAAAACCCCGGTGACAACATTCATTGGGACGGATAAGAACAATCTGAACTGGACGGTGACCGAACCAGCTGGTGAGTCGCGTTACTTTTGCCGATTTAACCTCTGGCTTACGACGTCGCAGGATCCCAGCTCGTTCTCAGTGTCGTTGATGCAAATGGGAGTGCTGGTGGTATCCAACCCCGTATGTTCACTGTCAACGGTAAATTCACATATCCCTTTGGTTGGTTGGCAAAAAAAACTCAACAAATGCTTCACAAGAGGGAATGAATACACAGTGTGTCACCACGCCGACCTTGACACCTGCGTTCACGATTACTTCGAACGTTACAGGCGACCTTGAGACCTGTCAGCCTTGGGGCCTTACCGTGAACGGCGGAGTGCCACCCTATATAGTTACTCTTGGTGCGCTTGGTTCGCCCGTCGTGACGAATGTCAGTATGCCCCTCGGGGATAATATGTACACTTTTATAAATCGTGAGGCCCCAAATGGACAGCTTATAGGTATGTTTGTATTTAGCCTTCCTTCTCTCTCATTTTTTGATCAATATATCATGTAGGCGCCGTCAGTGACCAGTGAGTATTGGACCACATCATCTCGCTATCCATATTCTTAATTTTCACTGGTATTGAAAAGAACAGGGCGTTGGGCTACTGGAACATTGATCGTCAACACGCAAGGTATGTAAGCATCGCAAGTCGAACTTGTTCCATTGCTGAGATGATCTGGGACAGGATCTTCTGATGTATCGTGCGCGGGGCTGATGAACTCAAGTGGCAATGCAACACTGCTTCAACAGGACGCCGATGCGGCCAATAGAGCTCTATCGGCTGCGAAGAAGAGGCATTCCGTGGCAATAGGAGTCGCAGTTGCATTTATGCTAATCTTTCTGATCGCACTGGGTATCGGAGGTGTCATATATCTGCGCAGGCGTCAGAGACAGAACCAGAAATTTCTGGCGACGACCACGCCCAGTCAATTTCAAGCAGAGGTCGAAGGACAGCTGCCTTCCACTCCAATTGATACGAGTCCGCCGATGTATCAGGTGGGATACACTACGATGGGCGGGACAGGAGTGACCCAACCGTCTGAAATTCATTATCGCACTCTCCCATCGCCCGATAACCCCCCCAACACTGGATTATCATACTATCCCAGCGGCATTGTGTTGGATAGACATATGGCCAGCACCTATGGCCGCTCACCAGCCTCAACGCGTGTTTCGCGTGCAGGCTTCTCAAGGTTCCCGTCGTTGGCTATTCGCCGTCCACCGAAATCTGTCGAGGGCGAAATTCAATCAGCCGTCTCTCCAGATTCTAAATACGTCTCTCCAGATTCTGAATACGTTCTGGAGACCGCGATCAGCGACTCTCGTAATATACTGGGAATGCAGTTGTCTGCGATATCATCGACCAGGACAGGCACCATGGGTCGGATGTTATGGGCGGGGGGCAGGGTAGAGGAAGAACCAGAGATGATGGACCGGCATCAGGATGCAAGATCTATCAACGAACCACCACCCCCATACGCCGACGGAAACGAATCCAATTGGCCGACTCTCTAACCTCCGTATTCTTATTTCTTTTATGGGTTTTTCGTGGGTCCAACTGTATAAAATCATCGCAGTCAATGCTAACGCTTGTGTATTATGGACCTGTTTGTACTATCATTATTCCCCGTTTGCTGGCGGGAATTCCAAAACGAAACCAATGATTTACGCAATTGCCACTGAGCAAACTGAAACGTTACTGTTACATTGGCCGCGGCCTAGTGGTACAACACATGGGGGGAAAGCGCCGGTTGTCATCCCTCTTCCTCAACCGCTATGATCCAGCCCCACCCATGCCTCAGGTGTAGGGGATTGCGGTGCTCGATTCCGTCGGTCCATGAGAAAGCTAACTCCAAACGATCCGACCCCTTTGAGAATCAACGCCACTCCTTCTATAATCTTACCGCAGGCGTATAGCCCGACGGCGGCGAAGGCAATGGGCGTGGTAATGATATACAAGCATCCTTTCCCCAAATCACGCAAGACACTCCTGTGCTCGGCAGGGATCTCTTCGAGCAGGTGATTGCACCGCCAAGGCTGTCTAGCCGATGAGGTGTCGGTGGCTTCATCTATGTCGGGGGCGAGCTGAATCGGGCCAAGACCCCTCGGAGCTGGTCCCAGGTCAACTGGGGCATTGTCGGGCTCTTGTTTGTTGTCTGCGTCGCTCCTCTGGAGTAACGGCTGGCTTCTCGTGTCGTTCAACCACAGTGCTGGTTCGGACGCCGCTGGGGAGACTGCTGGTGGCGTTGTCGCCATTGCTTTTGTATTATGGAGTTGATATTCCATCAGCTCGGTCATACAGAAGCTTCAGTTATAAAAGGCTACTCACGAAGTCGTTCAAAACCTTGAGCAGGATGAGAAAGCCAAAAGGTAATGGATCATCTTTCTGGTCCGTAAACCATTAAATGTATTTATCACCATTATGAAATGTCCCTAGGCATTTAGATACCGCAATTGATGTACGCAGTTGCGCAGCAATTTCAACGATGGCAGATAGGTATTGTCATAACGTCTCTTTTGACATTCACAGAAGAATCGGAGTTGCTTCTCTGTTCTTGGGGTAAGAATGCGCAGTATACATATCAAAACATCGCATGCAAGATATCCCAAAATAATAAGTATATCGCGAATTGCGGTGTTTCCTGCCCGTGTGGCAGAGTCGTGTATTCTCACTTGCATACTAAACGGTGCATTGAAGTGAATGGTCCTGGAACGAGCAGGCCAGATACTGCGGATACCTCATTCGTTTTTTGAAACGATCCTTCAGAATCCAGGTAATAATCCGCAGTCTATGATACGTCAATGAATCATGGCCTTGCTGGATATGGGCGCTTAACGAGAAATATCAACGTTTTAACTCGTATCGATGCCAATAGGCTGTTCTGGTCGGGCTTTATGCAGGAATAGTTGTAAATAAATAAGAATTACCGCCGAACACTCATGCTAGCAAGTTGAAATATCAAAACCTGCGTATATAAAAAGATTCTTTAGGGTCAAGGTCGAAATTTACCAGACGAAGCGTATATATGGGAATTGAAGTAAAAATTTACAAGCTGAATATTGCCAGTGTTAATACACGCGATATGGAATATACGCCGCTCATACAAGAAGTTTACACGAGACTCATCTGTCGAAATTCCGTCTAGGATCTCTTCTTCCCCTTCGATGCACCACGTATCATTTTCTGGAAAGGTTTCTTCCCAACCGAGCCCATGCCTTTCAATACCATCGCAGTCCCCTCCACCATCATGCCGACTGCATACAAACCCATACCAGCTACGGCGACTGGTGTCGCCACCACTATCAATAAGCCGCGGCCTATCTGTTTCGCCGGATTGTCGCTCTTGACGCTCGATGTATCGGAGGATATATTCTGTGTGCTTTCCAAGTTCGACTGCGGCGGATCGGGGTTGGCATTTCGCTTCAGCTTATTTGAAGTCTTAGGCTTGACGGCTGGAGTCGCTTCGGACGAGGTGTTGGATGGCGCTGACTGGTATACAGGAGGCAGATCCTTGGTCAGGTCTGAGGGTCTGCCAGCTTGTGCCAGCTGAACGGCGTTGGTGACTCTCGCTGCGGCGGACGCGAGTTCGTCCTCTGTAGCTCCGCTTGATGTGGCCTTGCGATAAGCTGCGAGCTCTCTTTCCAGATTGTTCAGAGAGTCTTGCCAGTTCTCGTCAGTGGGGACGGCCATCTTCGAGGAGGTGTTTTTGGATTCGATATCGACCATGACCAACAGCAAAACCTAAAAGCAGGCCATGCATAAGTGCATATCACAGGAGCTACAGAAAAAAAGCGACCCTTACCAACGGCGTCTCGAGGTCGTATGATAGATGAGAGAATGGCGTGCAGAGAGCCGTCCCAATTTATAAGTTCAGTGTATCTGTTTCATTTGGGACACAAAGCTGCGCAGTTCATCAAGCAGCGGATTTTCGAGGCCATTACGAGAATCGAAGCTGTCCTGCGGACTCCTACCTATGTCTCGTGTTCATTTGTTATCTTTCACGTTTGGCTTCAATCAATTAATATTGGACGCTGCGGAGCCAACATAGATACTCGTAAGGGCCGCGTTTCTGCCACTTCTTTATTGACAGCGCGTCCCATTCAACGTGCGCACAGATTTTTAAATCCGTCTGAAGCACGTAACGAGTCAATACTGCCTCTACCTTGATGGTAAATAGAATTTTTTCGATAGAGGGACTCGATCGCAGGTTACCAGAAGAACACAACTTCCAATCTATGTCTTGAGCAGAATTTTGGTTTCCTCTCTCTCAAAAAAATTGAAAGATGATTTTCTCTTGCAGTTCTACCTTCTTACAGCAAAGTAGCAAAACATCTAGAGCAATAACAAAGGTCAAAAATTTGATGAGAGAGGGATTCGAACCCTCGCCCCGGAGGACCAGATATCGTGGTTTGAATCCCACATTCGTTGAGCATCAAATGCTCTGATCCTTAGTCTGGCGCCTTAGACCGCTCGGCCATCTCACCACATAAATATTTATGAAAGGACTGCAATTTATAGTACTCACCACAACGCTGTCAACGGAAAACCCCGAAGAGTCAACCTCCACGAAGTTGCACCTAAAGGTCCTGTCAACTGCTGCCACCTATCGCAGTTTCTGTTAATGCCTGAATGCCATTCAGGAGGATTACTTATTACATTTCCGACAACCCAAATTTTCTGCCTGCCTCCAACCTGCCTCGGCACAACTTATATTCTACTCAAGGCCGACTTTATGGTGTTGAATCCTCGAAAGCTCTGGATTTACGCTGTTAATTACTCACTTGAAATCTTGTCTCGTTAACCCTTTCTCGTATCAATATTAATAGACGAGAGCAAGAATTCTTGTAAAGGACAGGCTCTGGTATCAGATGCAAATAAGCTGCTAGTTGCGCTGCAGAGGCTCATCCTGGCAACCGTTGGCTCTCAGTCTGAATCGGTTGACCGTAAAGAAGTTCAGGTCGATTTGAAAGGTATGTGTCAATGGATGTAGTACTCTGTGTATAGTCGCTAGCTAATTTAGCTAATATTTGCAGTGATCTGGAGATGATAACATATCCTCACAAAGAGAATCGCAGAATGAATTTTTTGAAGAAAAGATTGTTGTAGGTTAACAAACTTCCTCCTGGACTAATTCAACCGCTGATAATAATAAAAAAGCATCATGTTGCTTAGAGAGCCCTCTTCGAGATATTGTGGAGGCATCCAATGTGCATACCACATCCGAATCGAGGCTTCACTGAACAAAGTCCTCCTTCGAAACGGTCTTTTACAGCCGTGCCTGCCTAACTTGGTCGAATGTGCCGACAACTCGTCAGCTTCTTTCTTACCATTGATCGCTGATCGTCTCTTCCACGGTATTATGAATTCCCAGACTGGAACAACTGGGAAGAAAACCCCGTGATCCTGCGCAACCTTAACATCTATGGCCGGTGTGTGTTAGAAATTAACGCAGTTTTCTTTCTGCCACATCTTAATATAGTATCTCTGGATGCAACCTTGCCGAAACCACAGGCCCATGTACCCAGTCTGACGACATTTTGGAGGCACAGACGAGGCGTCTTCAAGCCGTTCAGAGCAGTTCCTTCCTGCATTAATCACTCGAAGGCAATGTTGGCCGTGCGTTACGCGAGGCTCGATGGTATAAAAAACCTCTGTGAATACTGGAATAATTTCAGTACCTCCAAACCTGAACTTAACTCGCTCTCCAATCTTGCCTCTAATCAACCATGCAATCTACCTTTTTGTACATGCTTGCAGGCCTCGCTGCCATGAGCGTTGGGGTTGACGCAGCCGCTTTTTCACAGTGAGTGCCCCATCTTCATTCGAAGCTGGAAGCCGACACCAACCTGATTTAATCTGACGTTTAGCTGGGTGCCCGCATCCAATTCTACCAATTCCACTGGCCAAGAGTTCGTCTGCTACCCAGCCAACCAGGCGATTTTCACCATCGTCACTACCGTTATTCAGAGCACCTTCTTCCCCAGCCCCACGGGCACCGTTGTTGAAAGCACGTTCTTCCCCAACGCCACCGACAGCATCTTCCCCACCCCAACAGGCACCGTTGTTGAGAGCACCTTCTTCCCCAACGCCACCGACAGCATCTTCCCCACCCCCACAGGCTCCGTTGTTGAGAGCACCTTCTTCCCCAATGCCACCGACAGCATCTTCCCCACCCCCACAGGCACCGTTGTTGAGAGCACCTTCTTCCCCAACGCCACCGACAGCATCTTCCCCACCCCCACAGGCTCCGTTGTTGAGAGTACCTTCTTCCCCAGCACCACCGCCTAATTTCCAGTGACGATAGGGACAGCAGAAATAGCGGTGGTGCGAGTCCACCCACCATCCAGCGCTGCCCTCTTTTTGACTGCAGTTCACGGCGCCGTCGAATCATTCGCATCTGGATAAAGTTGCCCAATATAATTTCTTAGGACAGTCTTAGAATGCCTCTGAATTTGATTTCTTGTTTCCCTTGTCATTTACTTTCACCCTTCCTGTCTTTGCCCCCGTTACGCGTTACTGTTCAAAACCAAATTCAATGTTGATCCCTCAGAAGGTAGTACTACATAGTATTCGATCGTCTTACAATCAGGTGCTTCCATAGCAGTCTTCCGATCCGTAGCCGCCGTAGTGTAACTTCAAAGCTTTCAAGATTGCTACCCGGTACATAGTCCTGCTTTCTAAAGTTGACCGAATATACCTCTGATCGACATTGTTAAAGGTTATATAGGGAGTTCGATAGAGGCTGGAATGGTCCCAAAAAACCACTACAGAGCCAATTATCATCCAGTTCCAGAACCGAACTGGCTCCTTTTGTCTAATAATTCCTCAAGGTGAACTGGGAAGACATGGATGCAGTTAATGATGGCATTATATCCGTAGAAAGAACTATATCAACACTGTACCCTCCCGTAGGGCACGTCCAATAATGTTACACTATATCAATAATAACTTCTCTACCACGGCAGGTTCGTGCCATCGAAATGCCAGAACGCGCCCGTCTTCTCTAAAGTAAGCGCCTCCGAGATCTTGACAACATTCTCCGCAGCCGCCTCCGGCGGGAAATGCGGCACCTGCGGCGCATACTTCGCCATCCAGTCATTGATCCCCTCCCCAAGCGCGGTCTGCGACCAGCCAGGGTGGATCGCGGCGGTGGTGACCCCGTCGTATTTGAGCGTCGCGGCCCACTTGTGCGCGAGCATGTTCAGCGCGGCCTTGGCGACGGAGTAGGCGTTGAACTGGCCCGCCATGAGGAAGGTGATGTGCGAGGAGGCGAGGACGGAGGAGATGAAGATGATGCGTTTGAATTCAGATTTCTTGATGAGCAGGAGGAATGCGCGGGAGACGCGGAGGGGTGCGACGGTGCTGAAGGTCATTTCGTCTGCGAATTCGTCGAGGTTCCTAATAGAAAAAAGCGGGTGAATAAATGCATGGACAGAAGGGATAGATGTGCTACTTACAACTCCTCGAAAGACGTCGTAGGTTGTGGGTTCTTGCCCGCGTTGTTCACGAGATAATCAAGTCCGTTGGGGAGGAGCGGAGTTACAGCTTCAACAGCCTTGTCAACGCTCTCTTGACTGTTGATATCTAGTTCGACCAGCTTGAGGTACTTCGGATGCTTCGCAGCCAAAGCCTGCAGCTCAGAGCCAGAAACGCTGCGTGCAGTCGCAACGACGAAATTATTCTCGTCCTTTAGCTGTAAATAGGATGATAACTGTCAGTAACAACATCTTTACACCGGGCGTCTGCGAGTAACCCACCAAGTGCTCGACAGTGCTATAGCCGATGCCTCTGTTGGCGCCAGTGATCAACCAGGAAGGCATGTTATCTGGAATGGGTCGATTGGTTGGAGTGGGTTGAAAGTAGTGAGATGGGAGTGGCTGAGGCTAAAACTCGAAGAGGCTGATTGTTAGTGATCATCTCAAATGGATCCTCTGGGGTTTTATACGCCAATGATGGAACTGTATGGAAAAGCAAGGACCAAAGCGATTGTTGGATGAGTAGGCCAAGCTCGGGGATTGGGCTATTTTATGTGGCAGCCCGGCCAGCTAGCTTGAAGATAAAAGAGGAGCCTGACTCAAATAACTGTTCACCGAAGCCCGAGCCCGATGCATGACATACTTCTGGTGCGGATAAGCCATTCATCTTCTAGTATTTTCTACAGCCGCTAGGCGTAGGACTCTGAAGATTAAAGAAAGGATCTGAGAGCGTTCACATAAGTTAGCGAAGGTTGAGAAGGTTGAGCCAAGTTGAGCGTGAGCTGGCGCCAGGCTGGCGCTGGGGAACGCCTTGCTCCGGCCCGGTTCCCGCGTATCAATTGGTGAGCTGTCAAAAAAACCTGTTGCTGCTTTGTTACTGCACCTCAGCTGCACCTGCGCGCCAGGCATGCCAGCTGCCAGGCGCTCACTCTGTGTTCACTGATTTCCGGTGCAAAGCCCCCAATCATTGTCTATCGGTTCCAACACATCCACTACCTTACAAAGCTCGGTTTTTATGCCAGCGGTCTCAATCCCGATTCCCAATGTCCCAAGTCGAATTGTGCCCTATGTCTCCATCTTGAACCTGCTGTGCGACCACTTACGATCACTGCTGAAAGACTGGCATGAAGCCCATAAAGTAGCAAAGAGCGGAGCACTTTTCCTAGCTCCTCGGGCTAACTGTACGTTTCAGACAAGAGTCTTGAGACGCTTGTCGACAATGCTGGTCATTTCTTGCAACTACTGTCCGTAACTCCAGAGGCTGTCAATATGTATCGAAGATTGGGATTATTTGAAGACATGGTGGCTGGATCTGCTCTCGAAGACTCAACGTCGACCGACAGACGTATAAGCGCTCTTTGTAACTCTCAGGCTGTGGCTGTCTGTGGAAGACGATGCATGAATGAAGAAAGTCGTAATGATATGGGTTTTACATTTTGCCGCTATACAACATATGCCTCAGCCCAAGATAAAGAGAAAAGATAGTAGCCAGGTCGGAATCATCGATGCAACATAATACCTAGCCTAGAAGTCGAACACGTTGCTCTGCCACCCCTCCTTCTTCGCCTCCGCATCACGCTTCCTCTCCACGCTCCTCCTAAACCCCGAAACCTGCTTCTTCCCCTCCTTCAGCACACCCTTCGCCGTGCTCTGTACATCACTCTTAATCTGCTGCAAGCTCTCCACGTCTACATCCACCCCCGAGACGCTGTGCTGCAGGCCCGGCACCTGCGCCATCGCTTCGTCCACCGGCATCCCAAGCGCCTCCTCGCCCACGCGCCCAAGCTTGTCTTTCAGCGGCTCCGACCCGGTACCTAATGGTCCGCGTTTCTCCCCGGACAAGATCTGCGGCTCAGCGCCCACCGCAAACGCCGACCGACGCACCTCGCCGCCCTCGCCGAGCTCGTCCGCGCCGACCCTGATCTGCTGCTGCACGACGACCCCAGTCCCGGTGGCCTTCCAGTCCATCTCCACCCCCAGCCGGCTCTCCCGCTCGAGCCTGCCCACCT